ATATTGTAGACTAGGCCATATATTATATATGGACTGTATTGTTTGTTTAGTAAAGGAGTTCCTTAGTCACCAACTTAGAGGGAATTCCCTAATTTGGGAATTAATTTAATTTTTTAAAGTAATTTACCTACCATTAAAGCTGTTATTCTGCAAGGGAATACCTTAACCCATACAAAATTATAAGTAATACTTTTTTATATTTTGAGATGGTGGCATTTGGATAAAATCCAAATCCCATACCTGGGTTTTGAGGGAAGTGAGAAATGTTCTTGGGCCCCAAGGAATGATTATCCTGGGCTATAGTTTGGACAGATAGAACATTTGCTTTATATTTTATGAGTTTCAGTAGGAGAAAGTTTTCAGTAATATTGTTTACTTCATGAAATTATTTTTGAGGATTTTATTTTTAGCTTATGTACATGTTAAAGTACACTACAGGTAATTAAGCTTTTATAGGTAAGATTGGTTTCTGATTGGGTCCAAGCCATATCTGTGTGTTTGGGACAAAGATCCCCCCTTTTGTTGTCTCCCCTCCTTTACAGCTGTCTATTGGAACTATAAAAGAGTTTTTATTGATTTAATAGAAAACAAAGGACATTCGTAGGTTTGATTAATTTGGCTGTTTAATGCTGCCTGTCTAGCTGCATCAGCTAAATATTTTTCTTTTGCTTCCATGGTGGCAGCTTTAGTAAGCCCTGGAATTTTGATAATTGCTGATTGTTTTAATTTTTATATGACATTTAGTAATTTTGCAATTTACTTTACTTTTTTTTTAATGGGCTGCCCTGAGAAAATTAAGAAACCTTGCTGTTTCAACAGTATTTTTAAGTTGTGAGGTACACCAAAAGCCTAGCTATTATTAGTGTAAATATTGGCTATATGATTTTTGGCCAATTGACAAGTGTGATCTAGAAAAATTAATTAGGCTTGTTGGGAAGATTTTATTCAGGTAAATAAGAACTTTATTAAGTCTACCATGGAAGTTATTGCATATTCAGCTTGGTAACATTCCTGTTTATTTTTCACAGACGTTGTAAACCAAATTAAGTTAGCATTATTAAGGAGTTTTTTTTATAAACCATCCCTAGGAACAAGAATATGGTCAAGTCAGTTTGATTTTAGTAAGACATGTAGAGGCTGGGCCATTAATAAACATTTGGAATTCAACTGTGACAATATTTAGTCAAACCCAGAAATCCTGTGAGCTGCTTTTTTATTTTTTGAAAGAGAAAAAGATAGGATTCCTTTGAGCATTTCAGGGTTAATTAGTAGTCCATTCTTAGATAACCAAAGTATTTTATCTGGAATAAACAGAATCATACTTTGTTTTTTGATATGCTACTGTGTTTTCTGGGGAACTTAGTAAATTCCTAGAATATAAACTAAATTATTCACATAGTGGATTAGAGTGGAATTTCTAGGAAATTTAACATTATTTAAATTAGCTTTTATATTTAAGACAATAGATTGGACTTTTCCATATATACCTGGGGCATTATTGTCCAAGTAAACTTGTAATTTTTCCAGGTGAAAGCAAAGAGGTATATAAATAGAACATAAACATTCTTATTTTTATTTTGGCCAAGCTTCCCATGTGTCAAGCATTTTAAATAGGCCTAATTAGTTTAAAACTTTTTTTTATAAGGAGAGAGAATTAATACTTGAAGTATTCCAGGGCCCATTGGAATAACTCCAAGTCATTTCTTAGTTAAAAAGTCTTTAAACTTTGGGAAGGTTTGTCAAACAGTCTCAACCAAAAGATCATAACATAAACCTTTTTTTGTAAACTTGGGTAAAATAAACACATATTTCATGGTAATAACCTTAAAAGACATTAATTAAACTTAAACCAGATTTAATATTAAATACTGGGTCCAGACCACAGGATTGTGTTTAATTTATGTACGTTTTTTAATTTCTTTAGGCCAATAAAATACTACACCCTGATAATGCCATCCAGAGGCAGGAAAAAAAAAACCCCAACACACTACACATATTATGTAGACAAACACATTATATTAAGACCATACACATTAAGACCATACACATAATCTGAACTATTTTTCTAGAGAAGGGTAACTTTAGCTACTTAAGTTTATAAACATAAAACTTTAATGAACAGCTACAACCTTTAAAAACTTTCAAACTTTCATATTTTCACAAACCTTATTCATTCAGAAATAACCATTTTTATAACTTACTTTCTTCCTTTTCCCTTAAATGTATTTTTATTTTATGCCTTCTATTACCAAAAACATGCAATTTCTTTCTGACTTAATTTGAATTTAACTTTCAGAAACTTCAGTTTCCAGTAATAACCAAAAATAAGGAGCCAGTATTATCTATATTGACTTTTATGAACATATTTCATCACCTATAGAAACATAGTCTGTTTATTGGCAAGTACACTGACTTTCAGGAAATACGCCTTGAACAAAGACATTTACAAACAAGACACTCATTAACAGCTGCAAATCCACTCCACAGCCTTTCTTCAACAAAAGTCAAAGGCAGGCAAACCCAAGACTTGTCCAGCAGTCAATGTTTTAGCATTTCAAAATATTTGGACATTCAATAACTTTAATTAAAATTTACTAATTTAGAAAGGAATAGCTGAAATAAATCAAATTTATTTAATTAGATATGGTTAAGTTCCACCCCTCCCTCCCCACCCCCAACCCTTTGATAAGATTTGTCTTCCAAAAACTTTGCATTGTAAGAGAAGGTCCAGGTTAGAGATCTCAGAGACTAGATATTTGCATTTCCAAGACAGACTTTGGTTTCAGAGTTGTATAGGGGGGAGGATGGGTTTGTTGGCATCTATTAGCTTCAGGAGCCTTCTTCAGTTCAGAGGCTGTCCCTAAAATTTCTTATTAACTTTTAAAATAAAATTTCTTTGTGCTTCTCCTAGAAGCTTTTATTTCCAAATCAATATATACTTCTCGTTCATTCAACTTAGTTTTAGAGCTGGCATTTTCTAATTTTGCATGCAAAAAATTAATTTAGGTGCTGAAAGAAAACAGCATTTTGGTCATTTAAAGTTGGTATCATTTTTAGTTATGTTTTCCCATTTCTTTAATGCACTTGCAAGTCAAGGCTTCTTGCCAGAAGTGTTAATGAGGGCTGGGGTCTGGGAATTTCTGGCCTTGGAGGCACAATTTTCCATGTTAATTTTAATTTTATTTTGAGATCTGTAGAGTTTGCACTTCACATTTTCAAAAAGCAATACCATTGAAAAGCCAAAGTTGAAAACCAGCCACTCATTTTTTTTTTTTTTTCAGTCCTGCCTTAACCTGGGTTCTGTCAACCCCTTAACCTTAGTTCCATTTCAAGGATTTAAGTAAACAGCTCAAATAAAGTCAAGACTTCATACCTTAAAACAGAGAGGTCCAGAATTCCAATTGAAACTCACCCAAGTTTACCCTTTGCAGAACAAGTAGCTGTGAGGCACACTGGGCCCCTGCTGGAGCCCAGGAGTGGTCCCAGTCTGCAAGGTGGTCCTCAGTAGGCTTCTTTTGAGTCCTGCCACGATCACCAAGTTAATGTCCGTGTAAGAAACATTCAAACCTTAGAGAATTTTTGGTGAGTTTATTTGAGTCAAACTGATGACAATTGCCAGGAAACGACACCTCAATGAGTTGAGAAATGCTCCTGAGAATGGCAGTTTAGCACCTTAATTTATACATTGGAGACAAAGGAGGAGCCTTAAGGGGGTTACATGAAATCCATTGGTTACAGATTAGGGAGATAGGAGAAAGGAAGTGGGGAAACTTCTGGGATTGGATTAAAGAAAAAATGATAGACACATACTTCTTTTACATAGGTGGTGAAGGGATAGTTAACAGTCAACAATTAACATAATAACAATAACAATGAGAGGATTTGTGGTCTCAGCTTGTGCCCAGGGGGTTTGGGGAAAAAGGGAAGTTACCTTGAGATTCCAAAGGTATGTTATCATAGATGCAAAAAGACAATAGACAGCTAAAGATTGACCTTTGTTAGGGAAAAACACTGGTCTAGGACACAACTACTTGTCCTGAACTGCTTTTTAGTTAATAATTTTTAGTTTTAGACATCCTTTGTGGTTACTTTAGCTCTCTAAGTTTGTAAGGCTGCCTAGCAGTCCTCCCCAGAGCATGTCAGGTTATTATGTGGCCCTTTTCTTCGACACTGTCTTACCTTTTGTTTGAATATCTAGTCATTTTTTGTTGCTGTTTTCTCCTCTACAAATTGGAGATAATACTAACCAGTGCCTAGTGTTGTTGGAGGCAATAAAGTTGCAATAAACTGTCAGTAAAGGCTTGGAAAAATATAAAGAACTGTATAAATAAAAAATAAATGAGATATAGTGTTATCTTGAGTAGTACACAATAAATGTCTGAAAATATTGTTTAAATACTAGAACCTTGTATAAATTCTTAAAGTACGAGTCACCTAATTAATCCTGTGCATTCCAGCATACTTTTATTTTACTGTGTTTATTCTTTCAAGAATTAATATTAAGTCAATTTGGCTAATTTTTTTTTAGGTTTTTGTTAGAGATATATTTTGGAGAAGTCACACCATTACTTCCTCAGATGTCTTTTCACTAATAATTCTATAATGTATTTTTATCTGATTTCATTTTGTACTGGGATTTTTTTCTTCCTACTGTGTTTAAAAGGGTAACCTGCAATTTCTTGGCTGTTGGATTTTGTTTACACTCACACTTTCAGAATTTACAAGCCTGAATATGTTATTTTACATCCAGTTTTAATTCCTGTTATGTTGATTATATTTAAAAACCAGATTTAGGAATTCTAATATTTTATATATTTTAGTATTTTGACAAAATTAATTTATCCATTACATTGATGTACTTAATTTAGATATATATTGTCATGGGAAAGATATATTTAAGAGGTAGTTGTATGTGTTTGTTTTTACTTTGGTCTTTTAGTTCCAGCGTGTTGTCCTTTTGGTTTTGTTTTATTGCTTTTTTCTTTAATTTTGCTTACCAGAGCCAAAGCCTTAGTAGAAGAACAACGCCTTTTGTTCCTAGGGTTCAGGTAAAGGCCTTGTCTGCCTGATAGAAACTAAAGTTGTGTTTTAACCCTTATTTGTATGCTTTTGGAAAATGCATAGTAGGTAAACTTTTTTTGGTATGTTGCTCCAAGCCATGTTATTGACTTTCAAATCATTTTATGAGCCAGTTGTAAAATTCTGCATGGGGATTAAAATAAAATAAAAATTTAAAGAGACAATTTTTATTAGTGATTTTATATGATGAACTAAATACTAAAACTCCTAATGGCATTTAATGTAGATTCTACTTATATGTGTAGCATTGAAAGAAATAGCTAATTTTATGCTGTTGATTCTTGCCTTTATTATGCACAGTTGCTGTCTCTTTAAATCATTCATTATATCACTTAACATCTACATTCTTTTGCATTTTCCAAGCAACATCTCCTTGAGGAGACTGGCAAATGAATTTGTACCTTATCTAAAATACGGATTTTATTTATATTATACATAAGGTTCAACATTTGGAAAGTTGTTGAACTTTGAAAGAACAAAATCACAATCCAAATAAAATGTGTTGGGTTTTTTTGTTTACATTTCGTAATAGTAATTTCACTTAATTTTACTGTAATAATTGGGTACAAGTTGTTTGCCTCTTTTCATTAGGAAACCCTTATATGGTAATGTCAATATAGTTCGTTTAAAAAAGTAGTATTATGCTTCCCTTGCTTTGCTGCATGCTTTTTTATGTTATTAGTTTTGAATAATACTAATTTAGTTGAACTTTAAAAATTATAATTGTTCTAGTTAATGTTATATAATGTAAGATATTTCCTTGTGCTGCTCAAGTTCTGCTTAGGAAACTTAAAAATGGTTACATGGTGTGATGGTTTTGTTCAAACAATTAAAATGATAATGATTTTTATTAATGAAAATTAGGTAAATATAAAGAAGTATGTCATATCTAGAATTGTGAAATACATTTGTTATGTTTTGGGGAATCAACAGGTATATTAACCATTTGTTTTAAAAGCATAGATAAAGAAGTTTGATATGTGATAAAATAGCTAATAAAATGTGTTTTCATAATACGAACTGGATATCTATTAAAAACTTCAATGTAAGTCTCTGATAGAAAATGAAAATTGGAGCTATTGATCAAATGCCCAGCTTAAGACAGTTTATTGAAGAGTGTAATTTTGATAAAAAAATTAAAATAAAAATGTGCCTGTTTTATATCTATATATTTTAACACATATTTGTAAAGTATAATTTGACAAACTATTAAAGTATTATGAAAAATATGAAAGCCATATGCCTGTTTGTATAAGAAATGAATATTATTAATAGGTGATATTTTTGGTTTTCCATGGCATAAGAATATCTAAAAAAATACTCATATATATATCTCGAATGTTTTGCTGTAATGATTTCAAAGGAATAAACATATCACCTCTGGAGATAACCAACTACAAGTACTTAGTCTTAACCCCTTAAAAAAACCTCACAGAGATCAATAATTTTCTTTATTAATTATAAGCTTAGTCTAATAATGATCATTGTTGTTTCTTTATTTCTTAACTATAAATTTTAATGGAAAAAATGTATAGCCTTTTAGAATATTTTTCTCTTTAAGGTATCTAATATTGGATTTTTAATATCATGGAAATATAAAGCCATAAACTTTTTTATACCTGTAGACAATAGAGAATATCAGAAATTAATCTGGTTTTGATCACACATTTTAGAGGGCCCATGATGCATGTTTTATGACATCTCCGTTTCATCTCATATACACGATACTCTCGTATTTCTTACCTTTTGTTTTGGTTTTCCCCTTTTGTCTTTTCCCAGAATAGTTTAGTTTTTCTCCACTTACCCTCATCTGTTTCTGTGTTCTAATAATATTGTTATGCAAGCAAATACTTGCACTTTTTTCTCCATTCAAATGTAAGAGGCTTTTTTTTTTAAGTTTGGCCCCTTAATCTAAGGCCATGGTTCTTAAACTATAATGTCCATGAGAATCACCTGAAGGACTTTGTTAAAATTGTAATTCCTGCCCTGGCTGCTGTGGCTCGGTGGACTGAGTGCCAGCCTGTGAACCATAAGGTCACTGGTTTATTCCCAGTCTGGGCACATGCCTGGGTTACAGGCCAGGTCCCTACTTGGGGGCGTGCTAAAGGCAACTGATCCCTGTATGTATCTCTTGCATGTGGATGTTTCTTTCCCTCTCTTTCTCCATCCCTTCCCCTCTCTCTAAAAATAAATAAATAAAATCTTAAAAAAAAAAAAAAAAAAGGTAATTCCTGGACCCTATCCGATTCAGTAGGTGAGAGGTGGGCCCAGGAATTTTTAGCTTCTTCACACTGATGCAGGAGGTTTGTGAGCAACTGACTTTTCTAGCCTGTTTTAACTGAGCAGCTTTACTAGGAAAACTTCTTGTTACACAATGGCAATACCTGCATTAAACATAAGGACTTATAACAAAAAAGAGTAGTGATTACGATTTTTAAAGTATAAATATTTCTTTCTGTTGTTGTATAAGAGGGCTGATTCCATTTGACAAAAAAAGAAAAGCACATAAATAATTTTACATATTCCTCTGGACCATCAGTCTTCCTCTTCTCTTGCCCCCCTTCTCATTCTCTAAGATACAAAGTCAGGAACTCAACAAAGCCATGTTATCCTGGCCTGGACCTGCCTATCCTCATTGGAGAAGAGAGGGAAGGACTTGACAGGAGATGTATATTTAAACTTCTTATCTTTTTTATTGAATTTATAGGGGTAACATTGGTTAATACAATTATATGGTTTTTAGGTGTACAATTCTATAATACTTCATCTGTATATTGTATTGTGTGTTCACCAGCCCAAGTCAAGTCTCCTTCAATCACCATTTATATTTCCATAACCTCTTCTACCTCCCCCAACCCTCTTTCCCTCTGGTAATTTGCAAACATTGTATATTCAGATTAAAGAGAAAATTAAATCATTAACATATATGCACATACATACATAGATATACCATAAAACATATAAACCATAAAATACATACTCTATAACTGTAATTTTATTCCCAAATTTTAAATTTTTTATTCAATTTCAAGGTAGTAGTCAGGTGAGTTCTGAACCAACTTGGGGATCAGAGCCACAGTTATTATAGATCCTGACAGTAAAATCAGCTGGCTAGGTGTGGGAGCATGAAAAATATATGTGGGAGGTGACAGTTGTTAAGTTAAATGAATTCAGCAGCTGGATGTGAAGTTCCAATTCCTAATTAGGGCATAGGGAAATTATTCACATTTTCTCATCTCAAATTATAAAATTTACCCTCATTATTTTAAGGATTGTGATACATTTGCATCGCAAACATAAAAAAGACTTACCTATTCAAGAAATTTAAAAAATATTAATTTATTATAGTTTTGAATACAAACATAAGGAGTTTATTGACTAAAGCTACTAATAATTCCCCATTGCTTTAATCCTTGAAATGTCTTCTGCTGTGCAGTTACATAAGGCATTTGCTTATAAATTCCCTATGAATGGCATATGAACAAGTTACTATTTATTCAGTCCTGTTTGAGCATTTATTTTGCACTCACTATTGTGGGGGCTCCAAAATGAACTACAGTGATTTTTGCATAAAGATAAACACAGCAATCATTGTATAGAAAGTCCTCATTATGGTATTATAATTATTATATACATGTTAATAATCAAATTAGGAGAACAAAAGTCCAAGTAATACAGCAATCAAACAAAATATTTGAATTAATTCCTCCATTCATTGAAGTTATTAAAGCATATCCTTTTATTTTAACTAAACACAATTTACTAAGTGAAATTTATATTCTGTGCTAGTAGCAGTGTAAGAGAATGGGGTGAATGATAAATGATTGGAATATAAAAATTATGTTATGGTAGTAAATGTTTGAATTGATAAATGAATATTTTTGCTTTTCAGATAAAACTATGGTTTGACAAGGTTGGTCACCAATTAATAGTCACAATTTTGGGAGCAAAGGATCTCCCTTCCAGGGAAGATGGGAGGCCAAGGAATCCTTATGTTAAAATTTACTTTCTTCCAGACAGAAGGTAGGGATATAAGACAAAAATAAATGCTTTTTGAAATGAGTGAGAAATGTTAATAGTGGTAGATATTTTGGTTCTGTATTATTTGTTTTTTATCATTCCTTTCAGATACTTATGAAGTTTAACATAAGTATAATGATTTTTAGGAATCAAAATAGTGACAGTAAATGCTTTGAGATTGTTTTTAAAACATATCAGATGTTCATAATACATTATTTTCTTGCATATTTATTTCAGGTTATATGGATTATATCTTAAATATATGTTTCTATTTATCAAAATTTAAAATTATTAAAAATTATTTTAAAATTAAATTTAAATAAAATGTATTTTTAACACAAACTACAGAAACAAATACTAGAAATGGTAGTAAAAGGTACTCATCATATTCCTGTACAATTTCTACCTTCTTTTACTGAGATATTTTTTCTTTAAATTCTGTAAAATTAATGCATGTACTTTTTATTTCGTTACCCCATATTATCAGGGAAATTTACCATTGGGTCCAGAATTAGCTTCTTCAAGCATCATTAGTTTTGTGTCCTTGCTAATCAAAATAAATATTTTTTCTGCCCTGATTTAAATAGGGAAATTAGTAATGGAGAAATAATTTATCAAAAATTACCTATTCACTCTTAATTTCAGGCACATAAAAAATAAAAGATGTTATTCAATAATATCATGAACAAAGAAGGAGGTAATGGCTGCAAATGCTTTTTCCCTAGCTATTCTGCATCTCTGGCTGTCAGGGCTGGGTGTTCTCAGGTCTGGTCATTTTTTCTCAGATTGGAAGTGACTGGGGCACAATGTGATCATAAATATGTTTAATACAGTTTTAGACCATTATTTACTTAGTTTAAGTTAAAGTCATCCAGGTTGAGTGCCAAAGTATCATCTGAAGAACAACTTCAGCAAAGAAAAAGATGAAAGGAAAGGACAGTTATCAAAGACCTTTGATTTAGCTGATACACATTTTGAAGTGGAAGTTTTACTGGAAAATATGTCAAGGTGGCACGATATCTAAAGTTACTAGAAACAGTTTGCTATATAATTTTATTTTACAAAGTTTACTTGAAGATAGTTGTCTTCTAACAACTTAAGTTGTCTTTTGGACATGGATACACTTTGTACTGCAAGGAAGGAAGAGGACATCCATGACAAAACTGATAACTCGTGCTTAAAGTTCAATTTGCCTTATTAAATCGTAATTATATATGGTGTGTTTGAAAAGAACTTCAAATATATCTAGTCTCCCTCCCACCCAGTATAGAAATCCCTCCAAAATAGTCATTCTCTGAGAGATTTTTTCATTCCTTAAGAGGAAGTCAAGACTTATTCTTCTAATCCCTTTCAGACTGAAAAATAAACCATCCTTGAATTAGATAATAAGGTTCCCACTGAATGCTTGCTTTCTGGCTTAATGGAAGGAACTTCATCTCTTGACCAGGGTCTCATAATTCATTTTTTTAATGGATGGAATATAAGTAGATGCTTTACAAATATTAGTACAATTTTAGAAGGACTGGGCTGAGAGAAAAATCATAAATCATAGTTCCTGTGATTATTCCTATTATTTTGTTAGTTATTTTTATTTATAATACCAGTTATTTTCCATAAAATTGAATAGAGATAAAATCTCCTACATGGCTTTTCTTTCCAAGGCCTTAGCAATTAATAAAGATGCATTGTGATAAGGTGGCTTTCTGCTCCATTAAATATATATGATCTGTAAACATTTGTTTTTGATTATTTAAGTCAAATTTACATTAAACATTAAACCTTATGTTTACCTAGGGAAAGTTACTTAGGCCCCAATTCAGAGACATTCTGTCCCTTCTTAGTTCTCCCTGCTTTCTCTTTCCTAGTACTATCAGCACTGTGCTGTGCTGAGAGAATTTGTAGCAGTTAATACAGTTTGACTTGGAGTTCATTGTCCACCTCTTACATCAAATAGACTCTCTAGGTAACTTAATCTTTCCTTCTTAGATGGTTTTCTTTATTATTATTCAGCCATTGATCTTACTTAATAAGCTAGAGTAGTGAACTTCAAAAAGAATCAATGTTCCCTGAGGATATGGAAGAGTCCATTGCAGTTCAAGAATAAATATTTGAATTTTTATATATTTTATCTAATTATTTTAATTTCTGTTTTATATATTTATAAATGTATATAATATTTAGTACAACAGTATAGTAATACATGCATATAATTCCTAAATATATGTGCATATTATGGGATGCATAGTTAAAAACATTCATTTGATAGATACAAAAAGCACAGTAGCCTTTGAGGCATAAATCCCACCTATCTGGATGTTCGGCTTCCATTTCCAGCTCACATTTAAGAGCTAACTCATGTAAAAATAATTTTACAGTGTTTTAAAAGAACTGATAAATGTCAAATAGGCAAGTGTATACTTATTGTACACTCACCTATTGTTAGAAAATAACTTGATAAAATGTAATTACAGTTGCTCATTAGCTAAACTGTATGAATGTGAGGTTGTGACCATCACAGTTTACTAAATTTTTTTGTACAATAAGGCTTCTATAGTTTAAGTGAATAGTATATGTAGTGTTATTCGTTAATTAGCTTTTGGAGGGTTTCCAGTAGGGCAATATGTTAAAAAAATTTAGAAGTAAGTTTCTGTAGTCTGGGTTTATTTAGATTTTGCGAAAAATTGTTTTTAATTATCTGTCAGAGAAAATTTTCAGATTTATTGACATATTACTGTTATTAAGTCATATATATAACATAAGTATACAATTTATACATTTTAATAGTAATTTTAAAGATTATGAGATTTGTAATATATGATAAATTTGTGGCAAAACTTCACCTGACCCTTTTCCTGAGAAATTTTACATTAATAATTTTATGGCAAACAACATAAAGGTTTACATAGTTAGTGTATTCTAATTTTTTTTCATAGTGATAAAAACAAGAGAAGAACTAAAACCGTAAAGAAAACATTGGAACCCAAATGGAACCAAACATTTATTTATTCTCCAGTTCACCGAAGAGAATTTCGGGAACGAATGCTGGAAATTACCCTTTGGGATCAAGCTCGAGTTCGAGAGGAAGAAAGTGAATTCTTAGGAGAGGTACCTGGAATTATTTTAAAGCTTCATCTGTCTGTGTCATCTTGAATATATTTGCTTATATGACTTATATGACAGTAAAAATTTATGTTTTGAATATCTGAAAAGTAAACATAGTTTTTATAATGGAATGAATTTAGCTACTGCTTTAAGACAAAACTTACTGAGGTCATAAAAAACAATGGTCTTAAATACTCTGTGACAATTCTTGCATGTTTATTCTTATTGTAGAGGGCTCATTGTTGAATGATAAGAGGTTGGTTTGTATTTCACTAATAAGTTGCTGTTTTATAATGTGTGTATATCATCAATTTACTGAAGCAACTATACTACTTCTAGCTCAATCATTTATTCCTGTATTTTTTTAAGCCTTGTAATATACCCATAATATGCTAGGGACGGATGCTTCAAAGGTGAATACAGCATGTTCCTTCCTTCAAGGAATTTATAACCCACGAGGGTACAGACAAGTGAATAGGCAATTGTGATATAGTATGCAGATGCTGTAGGAATACATATTTGCTCCACAGAAAAAGCAGAATTTAGCAAAGTCAAGGGGAGTGATATTTCTGTAGAAGAAATAAGATACCAGAGTTGAGGGACTCTTGGACAATTGTATTGAAACTGGAAGAGAAAGTGGTAAGAAATGAGCCTTGAAGGTTAAACACTAAAAAGTTTGGATTTTATCTTGTGGATAATGGGAACAATGATAGATTTTAAAAGGAAATGGCTTCATTGCATTTGTATTAGAGAAAAATATTTTTAGTGTAATGTGGAGAACGAATTAATTGGAGTGGGGCACTATGAGAGGAACTGCTCTCGCTTTTAACACACCAAGTTATCTACTTTCAGCACTTTTCAATATGATTGGTTTTCCTAATTACATGGTAATTTCTTGGAAAAACCAACAAGACATAGAAATAGTATACTGGGTGTCAGCAGCTAAGGAATCAAAGAATAGTAAATCAGTTGCAAGGAGCATAATCTAGAACAACTGTCTGGACCTGCATTAGTGATACTTCTGCTTTCTCACCTGTGTCCTTGAGCAAGTTATTAAATATATTTCTGCTTCAGTTTCGTCTTCAACCAAGTGGAAATAATAGTGGTATGCAACTCAGGGTTAATGAGGATTAAATAAGTATGTGTATGTGTAAACATTTGGATTGCAGTGCCTATACTTTTGAAAATGACTAGAGAAAATTTAGGAAGAATGAAAGAATTTAACTGTTTTTGCTTCATTACCCCCCATACCTAATAACAATTTATTATTATATAGTAGTTCTCATGTACCTAAGTACAAAAACTGTCCTGTTTGCTCATGACCCTTAAAGAAAATAAAGAGTATCATTTATTTCTATGGACTGATTTCCTTTTTAAATTTATTAAATATTGATATTATAAAATCCATATTATAATATGGTTCATTTTAAAAATCCATTCTCCCTGTTTTGAATCCTTAGCAGCATGAGATATTGAACACAGTTTTATTTCATTCGTATTACAACCTTTTCATTTACCAGCTGATGTGAGATTAAACAAGTTCTTTTAACCTTTTTAGTCTTAATATTTTTTATCTGTAAAAGTTGACTAGCAAGACCAAACTAGTATTTTTTTCTAAAAATTAAGATAACATTTAACATGGTTTTTAATGCACATTATACACTTCTAATTTGGTTTTCTCTCCTCATTTAGAGTTTTTTGCAAAGGCTAAGTTAATGAATGAAAAAAAATGCTTTTTAAATTATAAAATGATATACATGTATTAGTTATTATTACCGACTTTTAATAACGAGTGCTATTTCTATAATAGTAATTCATTCAGTAGCCTCTAGTAGGTTGTTGGTCAAGGGTCTACAAAATAAATATCTTAGCTATTTAAAACTTTTAAATCATTAAGAAATTATAAATATCTTTTATTTAGTGATTGCCAAAACATATGAAAAATTTTGCAACGTGACTTCACTTTTGATCTAAGAGTATTACTATTATCATTATATTCAAAGTTATGAGACCATTTAAGAAAATTTCTATGTTGTTGGTGTATGATAGTTTTTTGTTTCTTGGCTTTGTAGATTTTAATTGAATTAGAAACAGCATTATTAGATGATGAGCCACATTGGTACAAACTTCAGACCCATGATGTCTCTTCGTTGCCACTTCCTCGTCCTTCTCCACATATGCCACGGAGACAACTCCATGGAGAGAGCCCCACACGGAGGTTGCAAAGTAAGTCTTTAGTAAAATTTATCATATCTGTATTGAATGATCTTCAATGCTATCTATGACATAAAATTTGAAGATATCATTAAGGGTATTAACATGTATTTCAGTGTTTTCATAGCTTTTATTGAAGATTTTTAAATTGTTTGATACACTAAAATGAGGTTATACATATAATATTCACTCACTATAGTATGACTCCAAATGAAACAGTTATTTAATTTTAGCTCTTAGAATCTTAAATATGTGAAAGAGAAGTAATATAGTATAATTTGGTCATGTAAGTATACACACTTGAAATTATGTTTTCCACTTTCATTATGCCAAGTATTTTAGGACTGTGTAAGACAGTAAGTATAGCATAGTAGTTGAAACCATGACTATGAACTTTACTCAGACAAACCTGAGTTAAACGAGTTAAACTTTGATTCTCTTATTTAAAGCCTGTATGACTTGAGGTAGGTCATCTACGTTTCCTCATTTTAAAAATGGAAATAATACCTTCTTTACAAAATGGCTATAAGAGTTAATCTCAGAGATATAAATTGATTTTATTGTTGTTATTATTATCATCATCATCAAGTTTGCATTTTACTCTGAATTATATGTATTGCAAACCATAAAACAGAATTAGATCAATCCAGAGAATCTTAAAGGAAACTCAGAAATGTTTTCCAGTTGAAAATGATTGGTTTATTGCTCCTACTACTCAAGTTTTTTTCCTGATGTATCTATTATTGGAAGGTGAGACGGTGCTTGCTGCTTTGGATAGTATTCATGGGATAATTTTATCTTCATGTAGTCATCATGTTCCAAGTTAAGCAACATTTTTGTCAAGTAGTGAAGAACTGAATGATATTAACAAAATTTCAGAAGTGTAAACTTAAAAGCATGAATGCCATGTCATTTATCAGTCATGGGAAGTATACCTGGCTACAAAACAAATAATTATTATATATGTGAATCACACCCTTCTGCTGAATAGAGTACTAAATTATAGATCAGTCAGCTATTAGTCAAACAGAGAATTAGAGTAAAGAATTATCTTTTCTCCTTTTAAAAATGTTCTTGTAAATGACTAGAATTTTATTTTTATTAGATATAGTCTTCTACACTTGGATGGTATTACTAAACACTAATTTTAGAGCATTCATTTGTTTAGCCTCCTCACATAATAAACACCCTCCCATGCTTATTTGCAATTGCCATTACAGCAGCATTTGTTGTAATAATGTAATAATTATATTACCATGAATTTTATGTGTATTAATTTTAGAATGTCTAATCTTTCTGGCCACTTTAATCTAGTCAGTACAGTTCTCTGTAAATCACAATGTAGGATGATGGATTACTACATGAAAGTTACAAATTAACTCAATATGTACTAATTTTTATAGTTTAAGTTTATAGGCTGTTAATGCTGGCCACCATTGCTCTTTCTTACAAGATTTGCACTTATCTCTATTTACTTCAGTTGATGTTGCAGTAAGGAGTAGGTTTGATGACTCTCAATATCTGATACTTAAATCTACCAACAATTTTCATTATTTTTTCCTTCCTAGCTAATTAGGAATAGTGTATATAAGGAACAATGAGAAGAGAGTACTTTCTAGTTAGCTGTATGTATCGTGGATTCCCATGCAATTAATTTAATCAGTTTTGCAGCTTTTAATATTTTCCATCCTCAAATGGCTATTGTTATTTAATCATTAATAATATTACCATGAGTACTATAATAGCTTTATGTTGTACAATGTTAAAGCTAATATAATTAACTCTCAGTATTTCTACATATGGCTAAATTTGGTGTTTTATACCTAAAATATTATCATAATTTATTAGCAATGTGTAGGCCTGAAGGTGGGTTAAAAATAGGTACATATGCATAAAAGAAACAAAGATTAGGAAAAACTACTTAGGAATAGTCAAATTATAAGGACATTACCACTGGCTAAGGATGTATCAGTCATCAATGACAGGTTCAGTTAGGGTATGAATAAATAAATATATTAATTACTTTAAAGGTATATTGATGACAGGAACCTTTTTTATGGTTTTTCTTTATAAAGAGAATAAAATATTATATTTACTAATAAATACGTTTTGTATTGTCAAAGGTGATTAACGTATTTGATGGTATATAATGCATGATCAGTTTTTAAAATGTGTAACAACCCTATATTTATTCCCCGCATCCAAATATTTTGGTAATTTAATCTTTGAGGCTGTGCATATCACTATGAAGCTATGACTTCTTTGAATGTACTTGATGTTTACTGATATCTAAAATAAATAAATGGCAATAATGCAATTCTCTTCTTTCCACTCATGGTTTCTTATTTTAAATGTGTAGAATCAAATGATTCAAAACAGTACTTCATTACATGGACATTAGTAATTCATAATTTTATTCACATATAAGGAAATATATTAAAATATTTATAATTACCATTTATATAACTATTTATAATAACCATATTCATAACATTTGAACTATACATGTTCAGAGATTTCTTTCATTTGATCCTTCATATTTGATTTGTCTCATATCAACCAGATTCATCTTCTTAAATTCTCAGATGTTAATTCTTTACTTAGTAAAATTTAACATTATCACCCTTTCACTTTTTAAAATAGAAAACATCATGCCTACTGTATTTTCATTCAGCCCTATCACCACAAGTCTCCAAAGAAAAGTGAATGGAAAAAAATTATTGAGATAAAATCAAAATAATGCTGGTGAGAGTTATAAGATAAAAGCTACATTACTTCATAATACAGTTTTCTCAGGATTTCAGCTATTTGTGGGAATTTTTGGCCAATATTTCTTATAATTCTCTACTCAATTGACATCTCTTTTTCTTGGATGACACTTACATATACATATGCATATCTCTTGCCATTAAAGCTAATTGAGTCTCTGTTTATTTTTTAATCTTTTTTCTGTCTTCAGTTTTGATCATTATTTTTATTCACCTGTCCTCAATTTGACTGATATTTTCTTCTACACTGTCCGATTTTCTGTAAAAACCATTCTATGAATTATTAAGTATACTATGTTTTTCCATTTTAAGTGTTACATTTGTATTTTTTCTTTTTTTTCTTTTAATTTTGGTTTTCTTACAAGTTTCTATATTCTTTGTGAAATTACCCTTTTTTATTATATATGTATATGTATGCATACACACATACATTTTAGAAATATTAAATATATAATATACATTGTATATATGAGATATGTACATAGTCCTATAAATTCTTTAATACATTTATAGTACTTATTTTAAAGTGTGCTAATTCCAACATTTTAGTCTTCTATGGGTCTACTTATATTTCTTTTTCCTTCTTTTGAGTATATATCACATGTATATGTTTTGTACATCTACTAATTTTTATTGTGTATTGGACATTGTGTTTAATACATTTAGAGACTCTGTTGTATGTTTTGAAGAATGTTTTGTTTTATTTTAACAACGGATCACCTAAAATCTATGGAAGATATGTTAGGGCAGTTCTGTTTTTGTTCTTTCCATAGTCCTAAGGCATAATCCTTTATAGCGTTTGTGGTTCTTAATTCTAGGTTATGACATTCCTATGCAAAGCCTAAGATGTTAGCCAAAATCCTATAATATAATGGGACTTAAACTCCAAATTCTGTATCCTGTGCATCAGGAAGTTGTTGAAATATCCTTGTAGCTCTTTAAGCCTTTCAGCTATTGGCTTTCTACTGGGTTTCTTGTTTTTTTCCCTCTGCAGTCCATCATTCAGGCAAGGATATGAGGGGCCATTGTTTTGTAAGTTTTGGGTCTCTCCTTCTCTGGCTCCCTCCTTTCTAGTATTTCCCCTGCAATTCTAGCTGTTCTGACAACTCTGAATTCTAAACTCTGATTCCTCAGACTAGTAAGACAGACTTTTTGTTTGAGTTATAACTCACCTGCAGTGAACCAGACTGGGAGGGCAATGAGAGGAAATACTGATTAAAATATGTACATTCCTCATTTCAAAGGTCATATCATCAATATCTGCCTATGTTTGCTTGTTCTGTGGTACTTTTAAACAGCTTTTTATTGAGATATTATGTCCATAATTGATAATTATTACTGACAGGAGAGTTAGCTTGTTTTAAGCTACTCTATCATTCTCAGAAGCAGAAGGTGACGGTTTTAATGAAATTTTTACTGAAGTATAGCATTCATACAGAAATGTGTATATATCATAAATATACCCCTGGGTGAATGTACACAGGGTAACCATACTATAAAAGTAGCATCTCCATCAAGAAATTGAGCATCACTAGCATTCCACCAGCTCCTCCTTGCTCTCTTCCAGTAATCATTCCCCCTACCAAGGTAACAACTATGCTGACTTCAGATACCATAGAATAGTTTTGCTCATTATTTCACTTGATATAAATGGAATACTCACACACATATATGAATTTTATAGAAATGAAATTACATAATATATTACTCTTTCACATCTGTCTTTTTTCCTTACCAGTGTGTTTATGAGATTCATCAATATTGTTGTGTATAATTGCAATTTATTGTCATTCCTATATACAGTTTCTTTTTATAAATATACAATAGTTTCTCCTGTTTTTAGGTATGCTGTGAAAGCTGTTTGTCTAAATGAATTTTTAGGCCTTGCTCAGAGGTAATAACTTTATAAAGGAGTTACTTATGTTGACTCTCAAGTCTGAACTAAACTATTTACAAATTTTGAAATAATATTGTTCATTAGCAGCCTTCCTAAAAGATTCTAATGTATAAGTAGCTAAAATCACTAGCTTTGGGAACTAAATTGTTTAATTCATATTTTAAAATGTTTATTGACAGTTTGCTTTTAGATTTTGGCTATTCCTAAGAGTGCTCTTGGGGACATTGTTGCACATGCCTTTTTGTTAATCATATATGTTCACTTTGCTATGAATGTATCTAATAGTAGACTAAATGGGTAATAGGCTATGAATAATTGTTAAAATTTCCCACATCTGTACTAATTTATACTTCCTGCAGCACTGAATGAGCGTTTTTGAGTTTCTCTACATTCTTGCTTTACATTTGGTAAATTTTAGTGCTTTTCACCACACATTCAGGTGGATGTGCAGTGTTATCTCATTGTGGCTTTAATTTGCATTTCTTCAATAATCTCTTCTAGTAATCTCTTCATAGTTTAATTGACCATTTATATATTATTCTCTTTTACAAAAAACCCAGTTAGATTTCTTGCCAATTTTTCTTTTGTTTTTTTAATTGTTTTATGAGCATTTTCATTGTTTAATTATAGCTTTGAAATCTTTATAAGTGTATTACACATGTATTCGCTAGAGCTAACCTTCCCACTCTTACATGGGAATTTTTTATCACCAGAAGTTTTTAATTTCAGTGTATTTTAGTTTTTGATTTTTTCTTTGGTGTGACTATTTTCCTGGTTTGATCTGTAAAGGAAAAATATTTATCTTCTTGAAGATCACAATGATATGTTCTTATGCTTTCTTTTTTCTAGAATCATTTTCTTTTTCCTTCTAATTAAATCTCTAATTCATCTGGAAGTGATTTTTGTATATTGTCTGAGGTAGGACTCAGAACTCATTCAATGTATGGATGTTTATTTAAATGACTGTATATGTAGTTCAGCTCCTGAACTTTATTCATTTCTTTTTTTGATGTCAGTCTTTTAAAACATTTTCTTATTTACAATAGTTATTACTTTTTATTAAGTTTATCAGGGTGATACTGGTTAACAAAATTATACAGGTTTCAGGTGCATAGTTCTACAACACACTCCAAGTCTAAGTTTCCACTTATCTCCTCTATACAGTTTATTTTCCAGTTTACATTCAGTATTATTATTTTGTATTAGTTTCAGTTGTATAGCATAGTAGTTAGCCAATGGTATACTTTAGAAAGTATTTCCCTGATAATTTTGTATCCAATGGGCACCATTCACAGTTACTACAATATTATCAACTATATTTTCTATGCTGTATTTTACATCCCCATGACTATTTTGTAACCTCCAATCTGTACTTCTCAGTCTCTTTACCTTTTTTGACCCAGCCTCCAGATCCCTATTGGAAGTTGATTCAACAGAATGAAGGACAGATAGGACAAGCAGAATATGAGCAGCACATTAATGGATGTAAACCAAACAAACCAATGTTTGTATTAAATGTAAATAACCATAATACTGCCAATTAAAAGGCAGAAATTGAAAGACTGCATTTTTTTAAAAAGGCAAAAAACAGCTGTATACTGCCTATAAGAAACCCATTTAAAATACAAAAACACAAAGAAGTTTAGTGGAAAAGATATACCACACTAACACTAATTAAAAGATATATGGAATACTTGTATTAATGTCAGACAAATGACATATTAAAGCAAAGAATATTAACAAGGAAAAAGGAGGTTATTTTGTAATAATAAAGGGATAAATTGTTCCAAAGAACATAACAATTTTAAACATTTAATAATAGGGATTCAAATTGCATAGAGAAATATTATGAGAGATTGTTAGACTGCATTAAAAAGCAAGATCCTGTATGGTATTTCAAAAAACTCGACAAAAATGACAAACTTTTAACTAGTCTGACCAATGAACCTTGAATCAATAAGTCATTCTACATCTACTGAAAAATGGAATAATTTAAAATATTCCCACAAAGGAAGTACCAAGTCATGATGGTTTTAGACAGGTTCCATCAAAATTTCGAAGAACAAATTTTTCACAATCTTACACAAATTCTCCCAGAAAATTTTTAAAAAATTGATTAATTCTTATTTTCTCATTGGGACAATGTAACCTTAAATAAAATGAAAATTCCTAATGAAATATCACTAAAGTTAAGAAACCTCTTTCAACCTGAAAAATGTAACTTCAGCAGATACAATTTTTAATGAAAAAATATTAGAAAAAATATATTTAAAATCTGAATTTAGAAAGGAATGTAAAAATTCCCTGCTTATTTCCAGTATTGTACTCACCATCATAGAAAGACAACGAAAAAAAGAAAAAGTCATTAGGATTGGGAAGAAAGATTATTTACAGAGAAAAAAATCAAATTAAACCACAATAAATTTATTGGGAGTAAAAAAAAAATGAGAGAGTTAAACATTATGGTTAATATTATTTTACAATAAAATTATATTTCTTTATATGAGTGATTAAGATAGAAAATACACTCTTAATAAGATTTCTTAAAGCATTGGAAATCATAAGATACAAAAGATAAAGCCAACAAATGTGGAAAGTTTGACCAAAATTAAAAATTTTATAGAGTTTAAGTGGAAAGAATTCCATGTTCATGCCTAATAATACAGTTCTATATGACATGCTAAATTTTCATAAGTTGATGAATTGATTGACAGCAGCTCAAATAAAAATTTCAATAGGATGTTTTTGTACAATTTGACAACCTAATCTAATATTGATATGGAAGAGCAAAGGGGTAAAATCCAGGATATGACAGATTTACTTTTTAATAATATAATGTTTATAATAACAAAGATAGTGAGTTTTTGTTTTATGGATAGACAGCCTGTGCAAGAAAAAATATAGAGCACCAAACATCCAGCAGATAGGATACATTTACTTACAACACATGACATTGCAGATCATGGAGGATTGGTGAAGATATTAAATAAAAAATGCTAGGATGTGTTATCTGTCTGCAAAAAGCTTGATTGCATCATTTCTCATACCATACATAAACTCTATTCAAGAGGGATGAGGATGTAAATGCTAAAAGAAAAATTTAAACTCAGAAGAAAATGTAAGAGAATATCTCTCTGCCCATAAGCTTAAGAAAAATTTCTTTAACAAGACACTGAAAACACTTCTTTTAAAAGAGAGGATCATTGCATTCAATAACCATTAAACTTTACTTCTTGAACTCATAAGAATATGAAAAGATGAGGTCCAAACATAAATATTGCAATATATTTAACTTCTATAGAATTAATAGCAATGTATATCAGGAGAGTAATCGACAAGATTTTGAAGGAATAAATATTTACAATTCACATACATTCTCTACACCCAAGCCCCAAGCTCACTTGCACGCAGACCACTCACGAAAGCTGATAAAATGAACTTCATTTTTATTAGTGTCATTGTTATTTTACACCAGACGCCAATCTGATTCCTGACCAATACCAAAAGCATGCCATCTTTATGCGCCATAGTACACCTGGCATATTAAACTAATCATTACCCTGTTCTTGAACATTTACAAGGTGAAACCCTGGTAGAAATGTAACAATTCTTAACTCTCTCAATAGCTTCATCTCTTTCATCCCTCCTTGCTCCTGAGTCTGTTTAGAATGTATATCCTAATTCTATGAGCCCTTATATGCCCAGTCCTTTGGGATGTTGTCAGATAATTGTAGTTTGCATATTATTTGGAGGTATAAAAGTTTAATATTTGATTAGGTCTAAAGTTTAAGGACATAAGGATTTAGAAGGAAAATAGGTCATTCAGTGGGACCACATGATCAAAACAGACAGGTTTCTCCTACCTAGCTATTAAAAAGAGAAAAATAAGAATTCAGAATTCAGTCCCTGGCAACAAAGACTCCTCCTCTCCCAAGAGGGCAGGGTTCAAAGAAACAAAAAAAGAAAAAATGTGTAGGGTATTTCTAATAATGGAGGGCATTCCTGGAGCATTTAAATATTGCTGCTCTACTCATCTTACACAGTATGAGCTCCCAATGTTTTATAAACCTACAGGAAAGCATTTATGTTCTGATAGCTGAGTTTAGTCTGTTAAATGAACAGCATGTAATGTAAGTAAACAAAACAAGTTTTTTTTGAAATAGCAACACTTTTATCATTAAATGTATTCTCCTTTTATTAAATGCTTTAAGACGCAATTCTACTGTGTTGAGCATACCTATTGCTGAGACACATGTAGAAAAAAAGAGATATTAGCAAGTAAAATATAAAATATATGTGTGGCATATTTCATAATTAAGTGTGGAAACAATCTGCTTTAGTCAGCTAAGTTCTACTTAATTCAGATCATGGCTCTTTTTGCCAGACCATGATTAACATTTAAAATTTTTTATACAGGTTTGTCTTGCAATGGAAACATACACATGGGGCTTCTGAATTATAATAATTTTCACTGTTTTGTCTTAGGCTCTTCCTTAGAAAACAACACAATTCAAAATCTAGATGTATTTGTCAGTTTGTGGATGGCTTATTTCAAATTTTCTTCTCAAAGCAATAGAAAACAGCTAAACTAATAAGTAAATAGAGATGTTTGAACTGTCTTAAATTATGCTTCTTCTCCCTGAGTGTGAAAAATAAATAATAGGGTATGCTTAATTTATTACACATGCATATTAGAAAAAGACACATGTTTAAATTTTGAAATTTATGTAGACTCAAGTACATTGGTCTAAAAACATCTTAAACTGATTTGACTTAGCTATTTTGACTTAGCTTTTGTCCAGTAGATTTTATCAATCAGCATCAAATCACTTATATATATTATTTGGTATTTAATACCATTTCAAGCTTTAAGCCATTTAGGAGGTTTATATATGTCAAGAATAATATACCTACATCATTAAATATGTATAAAAATATATTTGTGAGCTCATAGTGACTTTTCTTCTCTCTCTGTTTCTTGGTCATAAATTCCATTCAAAGCCCTTTCATTTACTTTTCAGGTTGGTGTGGGTATTTTTTTTCCATTGATGATAAGCGGTTTTAATTTTCGCTGTTTGCTTTGTAGGATCAAAGAGAATAAGTGATAGTGAAGTCTCTGACTATGACTGTGATGATGGAATTGGTGTAGTATCAGGTAAGAATTTCAAAATTATTTTATAGTAATGAAAAGGAAGTAATTCATTATTATTTACTAACAGATAGATAAATAGATAGATAAAATAAAATAAAAAATAAATTACTTACCTCCTCATCCCTCCAAAAACAACTTTATGGTAATTTAAACTCCTGAATAGTTCCAGTTGCTGGAACACTCGAACCAATTGTTAGATTGATTGTTCTTATGGAAATATTTTAGATGAGTGAATACTTATACATTTCCTATTTTAAACCACTAAATAATAAGGATTTCACTATAATTTTGTTATTGTATAGTAATTGAAACTTCTTTATATACTCTGCTAATAATATAAAAAAGAATTAAATCTTTTCGACATCACCGAAATATGTCAAATATTTGAATAAGCTATTTTGATATTTTTTTTGTTGTTGTTAAGTATCAGGTACAGCTACATTTTGAAATTATGATATTGTAGTTTAAGATATTTGCCTATTTATGATTATGTATTGTCTGATGATTTAAAATTTAGGTAAGTAATCTTTTTAAAAAAATAAATTTTGGAAAAATAATACATATCACACTCTACTCTCTTTTTTAAAGGTATATTTTATTGACTATGCTATTACCCATTTGTCCTATTTTTTCCTCCTCTTAATCCCCCTCCACCCTGCACCCCCCCTTCCACCCTGCAGCCCCCTCCCACCAGCATTCCCCTCCCTGAGTTCATGTCCTTGGGTCGTATATATAAATTCTTCGGCTTCTCCATTTCCTATTCTATTCTTAACCTCCCCATGCCTTTTTTTGTACCTACTATTTATGCTGCTTAATCCCCTACCTTTTCCAGTTCTCCCTCCTCCCTCTCCCCTCTGATCTCCATTTTTATGATTCTGTTCCTGTTCTAGTTGTTTGCTTAATTTGGTTTTTGTTTTTGTTTTTTTTTAGCTTCAGTTGTTTATAGGTGAGAGTTTGTTGTCATTTTACTGTTCATAGTTTTTGATCTTCTACTTTTTCTTAAAGAAGTCCCTTTAACATTTCATATAATAAGGGCTCAGTGATGATGAACTCCTTTAATTTTACCTCATCTGGGAAGCACTTTATGTGCCCTTCCATTCTAAATGATAGCTTTGTTGGATAGAGTAATCCTGGATGTAGGTCCTTGTCTTTCATGACTTTGATTATTTCTTGCCAGCCCCTTCTTGCTTGCAAGATTTCTTTTGAGAAATCAGCTGATAGTCTTATGGAAACTCCTTTGTAGGTAGCTGTCTTCTTTTCTCTAGCTGCTTTTAAGATTCTCTCCTTTTCTTTAATCTTGGGTAATGCAATTATGATGTGGTTTGGTCTGTGCTTCCTTGGGTCCAACTTCCTTGGGACTCTCTCTCTGAGCTTCCTGGATCTCCTGGAAATCTGTTTCCTTTGCCAGATTGGGGAAGTTCTCCTTCATTATTTTTTCAAATAAGTTTTCAACTTTTCGCTCTTCCTCTTCTCCTTCTGGCACCCCTATGATTTGGATGTTGGAATATTTAAAGTTGTCCCAGAGGTTCCTAAGCTTTTCCTTATTTTTTTGAATTCTTGTTTCTTCATTCTGTTCTCTTAATATTGTAAAAATGTTTCTCTTCTTCTTGAAAGTAAATTAGCCTAACAAATTTCAAGTGTATGACTATTTTACCTTGAGGAAATATGTTTTGTTGTATGTAAAACATGCCATAGTTGCATCAATGATTGAGAAGAATTTTTGTTCGGCAATTTTTGTTGGAGTTGTGTCAATTAACATACTGTCAGGGTACTACTTTTTAAAAATTGACTATCTTTTGGCCCTTATTTTTTCACTAATGTTGAACAATATATTAATTTACTATTTTAATAAATTACTATAAATAATATTAATTTACTGCAAAAAAATAATTCCCATGCATTATGGTTTGTGAATTAAAACTCAATAAAATGGTTTTGAAAAATATTTCCTATGGTCTCTATCTTGGGGATCATTACAATTTTTTTCCAATTGTATTCTATTCTTTTGATAAGTGATTTTTCTGCTTTTTTCTATTTACTAAATATCTAGTGACATCATGTTTTCTTTATTCTAAAAAATTTCCTGCAGGTAATTGAACTTTTTCATCTTAATGACATTTTGACACATCTCAAGTCTTTCATTTTCTCTTTTGAGAATGACCAAAAATATGATCACTTTATTATTTTTCAATTTTGTTAAAAGAATTGCATCTTTTGGGGAAAAAACTTTACAGGAATCTTTTGTTATTTAGAATTTTTGTTGTTGTCATTACCAAATAGTGTTTAGAAAGCCTGAAAGTTAAAGGATTTACCGTGGGTTCATTATTTTTCAACATCATAAAAAAAAATCATCCTTCTTTCAACATTATTCTTTCTGCCTATGGAGAGACTACATAGAAAGTCATTTACTAATCCATTGAGAAGAACAGACGACTGTGCAGTATCTTATAATTTGCTATTTTGAAATGCAATGTTATTTTGAGACTGTTTTAATAGTATACTTGAAAGTTAACATTTCAGAAACTGCAATTCTGTAATCCTGGTTTTGATGTTCATAAAAACTATAGAGATGACTTCAAGTTTTTGGATTCTGTCCTGTACAGAAATTGGAAGCCATCTTCATATTCTTTCTATGAACATCAAAACCAGGATTATGGTATTGTAGTTTCTGAAATGTTATTTTTTTCATAAGGTTGTAACTTCGGTAAATGATATACCAAGTACATTTACTTAACTATTATGATAACTAGGACTTAAGCATCTGTTAATTCTCTTATGAATTTTTCACATTTTCTTTTATGCTTTTTTTTGTTTTAAGATCCATCATTAAAACTAGTTTCAATGGAGAATAAATGTTTCAATCAATAGTTTATCAAGTAATTTGACTACCAGATCAAGCAAATAAATATATTCTCTGTGAACTTGTCCATAAGGCATTTAAAATGTGAATTGCATATATACATATACACAACACCATCTCTCCTCCTCCCCCATATTAATTAACATTTTATACAGCTAGTCAAAGTTAATACACCAGCAAATCTGTTAATACTCCCTTGCCCATATTCAAAGATTGATTTTAGTTGCAGACTTCATATCTGTCAAATTTAGAGTATCAGTTACAACTATTCATAACCCTTTTTAATCTATCTTGTCTTTTCTCAGTAATGAACAGTATTGGGTGCTTTATTTTTTTCCAACTTTGCAAGACAGGTATCTTGAAAATTAACTATTCCAGAATTAGTATTTTCCAAGGGCTCTTTATTTTGTGTATTCTGACTAACTCGAGTCAGGGGTAATTTTGATATTTGCATTGCTAATATTATTCTTCAACATAAATTGAAATTTTGATTGATACTGAAATTTAGGTTTCTCAGGGAAGCAATTCCAGGCATGAATATTTAAATTTTAAATTAAATGTATTGAAGTGGCATTAGTTAATACAATCACATAGATTTCAGGTGTACAATTCTATGATACATCATCTGTATATTGCATATTGTGTTTACCACCCAAAGTCAAATCTTTTCCCATCATCATATATTTGACCCCTTGATTTGCTACCTCCCCCCATGTTTCCCTCTCATATCTGCCTGGATTTTGCCCCCCATGGTATACTGAGTTGGGGAATAGTTATAAGCCAACTATTCTTTGAACCAGTCAACTCACTCTCCAGTGTCAATAAGTGAAATATATATAATATTAATCATAGCCACATAAAATTTTAGTATTATTTTCCTCTCTGACCTGAAACAATATATAGACCTAAATAATTTATTTTCCATTGGGAAGGTAGAAAGGGGTTTTAATAATTAGCTCTTAAAAGTCAATATGAACTTCTGATTTCCTAAGTTAATTGTCTATCTCTAGTACTCATTCTATATCACTTCAGAATAGTAGTTTACATTTTAATCATGAATATTATCTTAAAACTCTTTATTTCTTTTTCATCTTCATGTAACTTCATTAGTTGTGTTTTCTTTCTTCCTTCTTTTCTCCCTAGTCTCCCTTAAACTCTATAGTCAAATCTCTTTTCTCTGTATATATACTCTTATATTTACTCTCTATATAATATACATGACTCTTAAATCTTTACCAAGAGTTCTAATGCCTGTCTCAAGATTCTTTCCCACATATGTAACTTTGTGCCAACCTATATTCCTGAAATGCTATTATCTCCCCCTCTCCAAACTGGTAAACCTTGCCTTATGTCTCTCACTTTTAGTGATACACCCTTAACTTCCTAGTGGATGTATCAAAAGTTAAGGCACCTTTTTTCCCTCCTCTCCCCTCCTTCCCCTCTTCGCTCCTGTATATAATTACAAAATGTAATTGATTCATAATAGAGTGCCCTCAGACAAGTCCTTGGACTTGTTCTTTATCTACACTCACTCCCCTAGTGATGACATCTATTTAAAGTCCCGTTTTTAAATAACATCTGAGTGCTAAAACTCCCAAATGTCCAGTTAAGACCTCTTGTTTTTACTTGAAATTTTTATTTTTTTACTGCCCACTTGATGTCTCTACTTGGAAATGTAGTAGATACCTTCAACTCAGTATGTCCAAAACTGAACTCTTAATTTTTCTCACCATTCCATGTCTTTTGATGGCAATGCCATTTTTTGATTTACTTGTATACAATTTTGGATATCTTTTTGTCCCTTTCTCTTCCTCTTATTTCCAACATCAAATCTTTCAAAAAAATTTCCATATGTCTCTATTTCAAAATATGTCCACAATCAGACTTTCCATCATCTCCATTGCTATTATCCTGGTTTAAACCACTGTCACCTCGTGCCTGATTTATTGCCCTCTTTCCTTTCATTTTGTTATCAGCATAGCAATTAACTTCTTAGAATCACTTCATAACAATGAAGAGATTTTGTTTAAGAAAAATACAGGTCATGATCATTTCTGCTCAGAAGCTTCTCATGAGGTAAAATCACTCAAATTAAAAGTTTAAAATCTTTACAGTAAAATACATAAATTTCTTTTTTCCTGTTTCTAGATCTTGGCTATTATTATAAATAACACTGCAGTGAACATAGGGGTGCCTATATTCTTCTGAATTAGTGTTTGTGGTTTCTTTAATATATTTCCAGAAGTGGAATCGCTGGGTCAAAAGGCAGTTCCATTTTTAAGTTTTTGAGGAAATTCCATACTGTTTTCCCCAGTGGTTGCACCAATCTGCATTTCCACCAACAGTGCATGAGGGTTCCCTTTGCTCCACATCCTCGCCAGCACTTGTTGTTTGTTGATTTATTGATGATAGCCATTTTGACAAGCATGAGGTGATATCTCATTGTGATTTTAATTTGCATCTTTCTGATGATTAGTGACATTGGGCATTTTTTCATATGTCTATTGACCATCTATTTGTCCTCTTCGGAGAAGCGTCTATTCAGGTCTTTTGTTTATCTTTTAATTAGGTTTTTTGTGTTCTTGGTGTTGTGTAAGTTCTTTATATATTTTGGAAACTTAACCCCTTATCAGATGTATCATTGGCAAATATGTACTCCCATTCAGTGGGTTCCCTTTTTGTTTTGTTGATGATTGGTGATTTCTTTTGCAGTAGTGGGGGCGGGTACTTCTTCCGCCTCCCCTAATAGCAAGAGCTGATCTCACCGGAGAGCTATCAATGCCTCCCCTCCATGATATAGCCACACAACCCAGCACCCTGATTCCCAGGAAAGTTCCAGCTCTATGCTGTTGTTCAACTGAACTCAGCAGGCTGGGGCCATAGAGTAGAAGGGCAGGCCAAGCGATTCAAGATGTGGGAGGTAGCACTGGCTGTGCAAGAGAGGTGGGAAAGAATGGTCCCTTTCCAAAGCTACAGTTCAATCACTGTCTGGGCCTCTGCTAGGAGCTTCTCTGGATAAAGAGCACCCCATTGGTCCCTGCCGAGTGCAGCCAGCAGGCTCCTCTGCAGGACTTGAGCATGCAGGGTGGTGTCACCAGCAGTTGGAGGACTGGGCAGTGCACTCCCCAGGCTGGTGCTGTACCAATAAGAATGTTTGACCCTGGGAAGCTGACACCTGGGTCTCTAGCAGACTCTCGTCTCTCCCAGGTGAACTGAATCCCCAATGATATTTACCACCAAATGCCATGCAGGCTTTTTTTCCCATTTCTGTTGCTGTGGGTTAGGGGTCCCTATGTGGGGTTGAGACCCCACACCCATGGTGGGAGAGAATTTTGCAGCTCAGGTATCTCTCCAGCTCCTTGGCTGCCAGAGGACCATGAATGCCAGGACCAGCCCTTTCCATGGCTCCACCCTTCTTACCAGTCTCTATGTGGCTTCTTCTGTAAATCCATGGCTGTATTTCTGTTCAGATACCCTTCTGTTGGTTATTCAGGTTGATCACTATAATTTAGCAGGAAATCTGGTTTGGTCCCAGGACCAGGTGAGTGTAGTTTCTACCTACTCTGCAGGCATCTTGGAATATCTGGAATTTTTTATCTCCCTTTACCCTGTTCTATTTTCCTTATGGCACCTAATCACCTTCAAGGATATCATATAATATTTATTGAGCTTTTAATGATCTCTATCACTCTTCAACTAGAATTTAAGCTCCATAAGCGCAAGTCTTTTTTGTTTGTTTTACTCACTGTAGCACATAGAATAACATCTGGCATGCATATGTACTCATAAATATTTGCTGAATCAATGAATGTATTGATTCTTTCTGCGTAGTTTGTTGCCATTACTAATTGTCATATTCCAAAGTTGTGCCACTAGCTATATTTATGTTCTAGAGCCTCTACTGGGATCAGGCTGACACCACATTTTTTGCTTAGTTTCTTCTCATGCCCTCTTCTGCTCTTAGAATTCCTTTCTCCTTAGAGCATCCTTCAATTATTCATGTGCACCTAAGTGCTTGACTCTCTTGCTCTATTTTTAGGGAACCTGAGATAATACCGCAAAATGTTAATGTGTTAGGAAAAATCACATGTAAACCAATACTGTGTCTGAGTTTATTTCTGAAAGATATTGAAGAAGAACACTGTAAAATGCCTGGCAGTGTTCCTAGAACATAGTAAAAGATCAATTAATAGTAGTCATGATGAACATGATGAAGATAGAGATGGTGGTGATACTCTCATTTTCTCCTCAGAGATTTCAGGCTCTTGACATTACAAACCTTATGACATTTTAGATACATATAACTTGAATCAAATTTACCTTTACTACTTATTTCCCCACTGCTGCCCCACACTTGAACTGCTATTTTTCTACCAACTTAGAATTTCTTCTACTTTCTCTCAATCTGTCAAATATCAGTTGCTCTCAAGGACACATCTGAGTAATATAACTGCTAGTATACTTTATCTAAGTATGTCAAATCATAGGGTGATTTCCCTCTTCTAGTTTGTCATATTTTTATTCTCAGGCTTCTATTCATCTCAGTCCTATCACATACTATAAGAAAAGCAGTTCATATAGCTACTTAAGTGGTATTCAGAGTGCTTTCTAATGTAATAAAGTAATAACTTTAGACTTTTAGGAACTTTTGTGGTTAATAATTTTAAACATACATAGTTCTGGAGAACTATTTGATGCTCTCCTAGGTCATTGAAGAGATGAAAGTGTTTTTAGAATAAACAAGTATTTTATTGAAATTAATTGTGTATGTTTTACTCGACCAAGCACAGTGCCTTAGGATAGTAAGTACATAAATATTTGAATATTGGGCATTCTTTTTTAAATGCTTGTAAAATATTATTATGTCTTAGTATATGCTATGCCTTTAATATAGTCAGAGCCTTTTAGCTTTACCAATATTTTATGTTTTTCAGTAAAGTACAAAATACAATATGAGTTAGTGCATAGGTAACTATAATATTAATCTTTCCACCTTTAGATTATCGACACAATGGTCGAGATCTTCAAAGCTCAACATTATCAGTGCCAGAACAAGTAATGTCATCAAACCATTGTTCACCATCAGGGTCTCCCCACCGAGTAGATGTTATAGGAAGGACTAGATCATGGTCACCCAGTGTCCCTCCTCCACAAAGGTAAGAGAATATACACATTTTATTTGTAGGATACTATTACAAGCCTATTTATCATAAAATATCATTCATAACCTCTAAAAATAATAAATTCTTATGGAATAAGTTACTTCAGGAAAAATAAAGACACCTTTGGATAACTACATAATGAGAGTAATATTAAATATAGGCTACTTTTTAACTTTGGATGATCTACATATTATGTTATTGTTAAAGTTCAAAATTATAAACAGGACCTAGCTTTAAATCACTTATCAATATTGAGCAGATCTAGTTATAACCAACTAATTATAATCATATATGATAGAGATATTGAAAATTTAAGAAATAAGAAAAAATATACATATGATGGGGCTTTTAAATTAGGAACAATATGCAAAGAATTAAAAGGAATGCACAGGTAGTGGGAAAAATGGCTTAGTAAATCTGTAGCTCCAGGTCTTATGCCTAGTGGAAAACTCTAATCTATCCAGTTAAGTATGGAAAGGCTTAAAAGAGTAAGAGCCATGGAAATAATATGTTTGCTAATAAAAAATATGTGCATAATTCACAATTTATATACTTGCAATGTTTAGGAAATTAAACACTTAGAATGATATTCTCATAACTCTTACTATAAATGAATAATTGAGTTAGGTTTAAACTTGAAATTTTTCATTATAATCTTAATTTTATGCATGGTATTAGACCATATAAAAGAATCTGAGATTTATTATATTTATAAATTTAATTTATTTAATTTATAAGAATATTAAACACTTAAAACGTGTTTATTTCCATTAGACACTGAAGAAATTAAAAAGAAAATGTAATGTATTAAAACTTTATGAACATGGTGTAAAATTTTTGGAGATGTTGACTTAACTATGTTTGTCAATGGGACTAAAATTATTGAGTTTTCTGAAAAGTACTTTCTTAAATGTAATAGTTCCATCAATAGAGATGTAAGATTAGTAGCTTACATAAAAGATTTATTCTATCATGAATAAGAAGTAGACATCCAGGCCAAGAATGGTAGCTTAAGAAATCATCATTGATCAATTATAAAGACTTCAGTTTAGAGATTAAAAAACAAACATTCATTATCCCTAAAAATAGGATCTACAAATATATTGTCTATAAGCAACATGCATAACTCCTTTTTTCCCCACACAAATCTATTCCTCCAGCTGTTTTTTAATCATTGAATATTACCTGAGAGTCATATGTTAATAGCTTTGATAATCCTCATCTCTATCCTCATTGATATTATCTTAATTTTATATCATGTCTGTTCTAAAACTAACCTGACTTCACTGTTAACCTCCAGTGGATGTTTATACCATTAGCCAGAGATGCAATTAGTTAAAACAAAAAACTTGGACTTAACATTATAGTAAGTTTTGTTTTTTTCTACTATCTTTATTAATAACCCTTATTTATTAGTATAGTATATAATTGTGATTTTAAAATATTTAATGGATCTTACTATTTCAGTAGGAATGTGGAGCAGGGACTTCGAGGGACGCGCTCTACTACTGGACATTATAATACAATTAGCCGGATGGATAGACATCGTGTCATGGATGACCATTATTCCCCAGATAGAGACAGGTGAATATAATCAAATACTGTTATACCCTATAATAATTGCTGCCTTCAGGAAAAAGGTGTTACCATAAAATGTTCTCACCCTGAACTTGGGTATTTTTTATCTTAGTTTCTAAAACCTTGTTTCCTTTACAATGCCTACATTTATTCTTATACCCACATCATTTGATAAAAGAAAACAAAGGAACACTATATATACATATATATTTGTTTGGTAAGAAAAAAATAAAATTACCTTGCTCTTGAAATTTTGGTCCTTTGTTAAATGAAACCAGTAAGTTAGTAAATTTGCACAAGAAGTCATAATGATAGTCAAAATGAAAGCAAGATGTTTTATTATTTTTACCTTATCATAATTATTATATATAAAAATACATCCATGAGGTAATAGATTTTAGTCTGTTACATTCACCAGGGAAATCAATGTGACTTTTAATACATAATAGTGTTGAGATGAGTTGGTTTGTTTAAGAAACAAACACATTAACTGATTCATGAAGAGGTTTTTCCTCATGGCTTTCAGTAAACTTTTAAGCATCTTAAAGAATCATGTTGTTAATTGCTTTATTTGGAAGCATTCTCTGAATTGGCTCTATTAAATGTGACATGGTTGGAAGAAACACGGTGTTCTTCAATATATGCATTAATTACAACTAATTTTTGAAATTAAGCAAATTAACTTTCTAACTCATGGCTTGATTGTATATAAAATGAAAAATGCTATGATATTTCCCCAAACTATCAAATGGGTTTGAGATAAGGAAAGAAAACTATACACCATTTAAAGAACATTATGATAAAATAACAAGGGAACTCAGAAGTCTTTTTGTCATCCTAAACTAATATTAACAGAAATATTTGTTGGCTTTTAAGCCAACTGATAAGAGATGTTACTGTTGATATCCATAAATTTAATTGTTATGTCTAAATCTAGGGTTATACTCTATTCATGCTTATAATTTTCATTTTATTTTAGCACACTTTTACAAAAGATATGGAAGATCTTAGGTTTTAATAATGTCAAACCAGTCTTGGCTATTGAGTATAAAATCTAAGAAGAAATTAGAAAGTTTTCAAATTAGTATCTTAATCAGCATTGAATGAAAGTTAATATAGTATATTATTAATTTTCAGTTTGTTTGACTTTTTCACAGATATTTATGTCTTTAGGCATAATTATAGATATTCTACCTAGAAAAATTTATGCTTATCAAAAACAATAATAATGAAATATAACTCTGTTGGCAATATTAGAAGCTGGAAAGAGTTGTATTAGAGTGTGTGAATGAATGCTTTTGTTACCTAATAGATTTTTAATGAGTTTGATCTTTTCTGGAAACTATTTACTTAGTGATTCATAAGTTCCTTGTTTAGTGAAAGTTTAAGGAAATAATGAGACAGAAAAGTCTGAAATGATTTTAAATCCGTCATGTTTATGTTAAGTTTTTCTTTTAATGAAAATTGGACTTGATATCCTCTCTGAATACAATATGGTCTAAATTTTGCGGAGAGAGGAGTCGAATAAAATTAACTTACAATTATACTTGAACACAGAAAGTGTCACTATCATGCAAACACATAATATTGCATCAATATTTTAAGGCAAACGGCCTTAATGAAAAAATATTGACTAAGACTTTTGTTTACTTTATAACTTTATGAGTCTTGTAGTTTAGCAAAAATTTTCAGGTAATTCAGAGTTTTGGAGAAATTGATTTAAGTGATTTTATTACTCTCTTAGAGTGCCATATAGTACCAGATCATAATTACTGTTAATTGTGAACTGCTTTAAGTTCTTTTTGAAATAAGTATAATAGAAATTCACTTAAACAGGACTATATAACCATTTCTAATATATTATTTTTGAGTTATCTGTGCAATCCTTATTCATTAATGTGAGAAATCAAAAATACAAATGTATTATCCACATAGTCTATCAAAATATTAAACAGTAGGTTCTTAATTTCTGTTTATCCTAATATTCTAAAATATTTTAATAGAATGCATGTGAAGGCATTGTAATTTTTTTGTATTATGTAATTACTAAGAATACTCTCTAACAAATTTTCATGAACAGCATTTTATAGGGTCAATCAATCATATTGTTGATTAGAAAGTCTAAAAGAAAATTTCCAGTGTGGTAATTATGGGACAGGATGAGGGTAGTTTGAGGAGGATAAATGGTAATGGAAAAAATACAGTATTTAAAACCAGTTGAAAAGAAAGTCTAAAAGAAAATTTCCTTTGAAGTAGTAAGTCAATTTAGGTATTTTGCATGATGCATTAACCTCTCTTGTCCGTAAGAATTGATGCACTGGACTAGAACAGTATTTTATTGAATATTTTTTCATAACATTTGGAACCAAATGGCATTGAGTTTGGATTTAGGCTTTTTCCTACTTGCTAACCACATATCTTTGGAAAAATTAACCTCTTTAGAATTCGATTTTCTTATCTATATAATTATAATATTAGCACCAATTTTACAGGGTTTGGGGACACATTGCATGAGACAGTGCCTCCAATTGTGTAGTATACACTCAGAAAAATGTGTCTTATCTTTAATGTTCAAAAGGATCTTTTGTCTTACAAATAATTTACATTCTATGTGCTTATCAGTTAAACAGAAAAAAATGGATCAATTCAGATGTTTTTTAAAAAGCTGTGTAGAGAATTCAGGACAGGAGTTGGACCCTGAAAAATGAGTATGTTTATTCAGTCAAGAACAAGAGCAAAGATACAGAGAAAATATATATATATATTCAGAAAGACCCAGTATGCAGGATGAAGGACCTGGGGCCATGTTGAAAAGTTATCCATGAAGATAATGGCTTTTTTACATTGGCTGTATTGGGCGAGAAATGATGCTATTTAACATTAGTTTTTTGTACCTTGTTAAACTTAAGTGGTATAAGAAGGAGATATAGTATTCAAACGTTTTCTTACAGGTAACATAAAAAAAATCATATGTCAAAATTTGATTAGATCTTTATTTCTCTGTACATCTCACTCTTTTTATCATTAGTCAAAATCCTATTTTGCTTTGAAAAGAAAATAGGTTCTTTATGAGTAATTTAGAAACTTGGATGAAGGGGTATTAGCTAAAATGATTAGCAAGGGGCATCCTTCATATTCCTATTACTTTTGTATCATTGTTTCTCTAGTAAATTGTGACAAATACTACAACTAGGAATATAATTTTCTTGGGGCTAACTATGTGGCTTTAGTATGAGAAATCATTCCAAGAGCTTATTTGTTTACATGACTTAATTTACTATTGGAATAAGTATGGAGTACCAGATAATATTCCTGTAACATGTCAGAGATATCCTGCAGAAAGAATTATTAAGTTTATTTTATAGGCCAGAATTTTGGGGGTACATAGAGTTTAGCAAAAAACTTTCATGGCCAAAATCTCTTCTGAAAGAAACCTTTTATTGAGCCAAATGCTGGCCCGAAAGGGTAACAGATCCTGTACTATGAAGTCCTAGCTACCAGCAGCAGGGCTAGGTAGAAAAGACAAACATGTTCTCCTGGAGTTGACAGGTGGTTTAATGTTTCAAGGAAGAAAGGTGTTGTTTTGGGAGAACAGATAAGGGGCTACAGATCATGAGATTGGAAGAGGTAAAGTGAGGGCAGTTCTAGGATAGGTGCACAATCTGTAAGGCAGTGATATTACTATTGAGGATAGGTTTTATTGGTTGTGGGAAACAGTCCTGAAAGTTTGTGTATAAGCAGGATGCTGTGACATCTGGTAGTCACTACAGAAGTTGATTCAAAGCTCCATACATGTAAGCAGTCTCTTAGTAAGCCTACAGCTATTAATGGGTTAACTACTCTTGTCTCTTGCCCTGGCGAGGCAGCTTAAGTTGGTTGGAGCCTTGTTCAGTACACCAAAAATTTGCAGGTTAAATTCCCTGTCAGGACACATACCTAGGTTGTGGGTTCCATCTCCAGCCGGGATGAGTATGGGAGACAACCAGTGGCTGTTTCTCTCTCACATCTATGTTTGCTCTCTCTCCTCCTCTCTCCCTCTCTCTCTGAAATAAGCATATCCTCAAGTAGGGATTTTTAAAAAAACCCTAAAAACATATTCTTGTTTCTTTCTCTTACTCTCCACCCAGCCCATTGTAATTTAATGTAGGACATCTCAGGATGATTTTTTCAATGCTTTTAGCATAATAAGAAAATATATAATTAACGCTAGCAGAAAATTATTAATTCATAAACTTCCTTTTGTGGATTCAATTAATGCATTTATATTTTAAAAAGAAAAATGCCCTACTAAATGGATCTCTGAAATAGCTGACACACTTAAGCCATTTGTCTATTCTTTGTTAGGCAACCAGTTAGCCAAAAATCTCAAACCCACAACTAATTATAGTCTTCTTGGCCCTTTCACTTACCAAATATGAAGTGAAACACATCTCTGAAAGTTTGAAAATATAAAGAGAGTAAATGAAAAGAGAAATCAATTTATAAAAGTAATGCAACATTTTATTTACTACATTTGAGGAATATATTTTAACATACTGAAATCAATCATACTGAGTATATTTTAGGAACTACAGAGTAACAAAACATTAACATCATTGAAAGCAGAGCAGAAAGTTTTATATTAGGTTGAAACTGTTTGAAACTTAGCTTTGAAAAACTGTTACTTACCTAAGGGTATTACATTTTATCTTCTCATTTTTCAGTCTTTTTTGTGTGTCTGGTGGTTGGGCTAATTTAATATAATGGAAGGATAATTCATTATAAATATGATTTTGCTCTGTCTTTAAAGATTTTATTACTGATTAAGAATTGAAGTGTGTCGAGAAATTTGATCAGTGAATAGAAAAATTCTTTAAATAGTGATATTTTTATTATAATTTTAGAATGTGTAACTTCATTCCTTTTTGCTTTTCAAAATGTAGTAATTTTTCAGTTTTCTTTTTTTTCTTACAATAAACTGCTCTGCTCAATATTTTATAAGTTTAGAACAGATTAAATGCCATTTTTAATGTACCTTAGTTTATTTGTTTAATTCATTGTATATATTCAAGAGTCTTTATTGAAAAAACAAGTGGTCTTCTGTTCAAAAAGAAAATTTGAAAACTCCTGCTCCAGCCCTGTCATTTCACAAAGGTAGCACCAGATATTTAAATGGGCAAATGTCTTGCTCAAGCCTCACAATTAGTGTGCATTTTCTGAAGAGTCTACATGACACTAAAGCAGCCGTGTGGAGAGCCCACAAAGTAGCTGGAAATGTGCCGTGAAACCAAAGAGAAATTAAGGCTAAAGCAAAGTGAGAGTTCACACTACAAAAGCAAATAATACTATCCAATAAGAATGTATTGCAATATAAGGAATGTCGAGGATTAAATCTTGGGAAACCACTGCATTAGAGGAATACAGAAAAAGGGAATTCAGTAAATGAAATGGATAAAGAATAGTTAGATCCTGCTTCTTTAAGAAGTTAAGAGCCTGAATTTTGTATTAAGGAAGTTTTGAGTTTGAAATGGAATCCTGCTGCTTACTGTATGGCTAAGGGCAAGCACCCATAGCCTCGGTATCTCTGTCTGTCGGAATACTAGAACCTACCTCAAAGAGTTGTGAGAAATAAATGAAATAAAATAGGCAAAGGTTTAATGGAGTACCTGGCAAATAGGTATCTTAAATAAATACTGTTTTTATAGCAAGAAAAAAAGTGTTTCAGAAACCAAGAGAGAAGTATCAAGAAATAGAGGTTGAAAATCAATGCCTATCTAATTCCACAGATATGTGTAGTATGATGAGGATCAAGAAAAGATTAAAGGATTTTTTTTAGGATTTCACAGATAGCATTCGCAGGCTAGTTTCAAGAGAATTGTAGAGGCAGAAATCAAGGGAAGTCAGTACAATGGCAGGAGAGGGAGGCAAGTTTAGTTAAGGTTTTATTTTTAGGATTAAGTGCACTTGAGGGATGGTAAGCAACAATGAGTGAAGCAAGGTCGTGTAGGAAGTAGATTTACAAGTAGAGGAATTTCTTATTTTTGTGAAGGTGAAAAGGACAAATGAAGATATATATTTACTCTATATTTAGAGGTAGAAGAATGGAAGTTGAGAGAGTTCAAGTTGGTTTCCATTTTTTATGGAAAGATTATGACAATCTGTCAGAATTAAATGTTTTGGCAATAGGATTTTAAGAAAATAGAAAAGTTTTTTTAAAGTGCTGAAGAGAGAATCAACTACAGATGGGTCAAATGTCAGTGGGCTGCTTTGAGGGTTATGGTGGCCATGAGCCATGAAATGCAGCAGAGCCGATAACGTAATAAATGTAACAAAAATAGTGAATGGAAATATGGGTAGTATCCAATAAGTTTAATAAATAAAATTAATAATCAGAAATAATTTGAATCTGTTTTTTACTAAATGGAATTTATAAAGCCCTTTAATTATTTTTAATTATTGATAGAAGAAATAATTACCTTATAAATAAGTCTCTTTACTATAAGTATTAGCAATTGCCTCTTTTATCATTTTCTCCTTAAACTCTCTGGTTATTTTATTATTTTTCTCTTTTCATCTTTCCTTCTAAAAATTGGAAAGCATCTGTATTATTTAACATTTTATAGATTGTGCTGAAGATATTTGAGTAATTACTGATAAGGTTTTATTTTGGAATATAATTTGTTTAAACCTCAGTTTGTTATATTTTGTTGTGTTTTATTTTAGAATATTTAGAATAGTTTAACTTTTATCACTGACATATTATAATGGCTACTGAGTGGAAGGAGCAAGCTTTTCAGTGTCAATTTTCATTTGCTTTGCTTACTATCTGCTTATCTTTTTTTATTCTTACTTTTAAAAATTAAACTATACCTTTCTTTTCTTCCCTGAGTCTCATTTATATTCTTGTTTCTGCCATGCTTGCAGTCATTTTCTTACTCTACCTCGCTCCAGATACAGTCAGAGCATTGAACATCATCACAGGGATGGCAGGTATATTTTTCTTACAATTGAGTCTGTTCGTAGGATTGCATGTGTCTGTCTGTTGATATGATGTAATTCAATTCTACTTCTGTTTTTTATATATACATATGATTGTAATGAAATACAGATACATTATTTTATAAAATAGTAGAAAATAAAGCATATATAAACTCTGTAATTGTATCATTTCAAAAATACAGTTTCCTTTTAATGAGTTAGGATTATGTCTTTGATGATCTAAAAATTTAATTCTCCAGTAATTATGATTAACTTTAATTGCCTAGAAGGATAGAATAACAGTTTAATTACATTTGACTGCCCACCTTCCACAGCAGAGTTCGTAATTAGCTATTTAGACAACACTAGTTGATTTGTTTATAGCTTAACAACACACTTCCCTCTCTACTTCCACAGTCGAGGAGTCAGTACTTGAAGTGCTTAGGTTGAACTGATCAGATTATGGTTCCCTTGTCAAAGGTGGCTGTGATCTACTCCTTGGTCATCACTGTAGATGATTTTGGATCCATGGAAAACACTGGATCTGTGGGAAAATCTTTGTTCATTTCTCGTCTACCACCATTCCCCTTTTATTGAACAGAAATAATCAATTACATGGCATTTAACTAAAGAGAGGATTAACTAGCAAAAGAAGGGAAAGAAGACCTCTATGTAGCTTTTAGGGATTTAAGCCAGTTCAGTGAAACATTTTGAGCTCCTATAAGCAGAGAAGAGAGTTCAGCTAATATAAGGTGAGGAAATAGATGCTGTACTCACTCTGTCATTTCAAAGTGATTTGAGTTATGTGTGACCACTTTTATCCTATTAATTTAGTTAATTGTTAAAATAGTTTAAAAAACTAATGGGTAAATTTCTAAGGATTGAAATGATGTAGATAAATGTGGCAGAAAACATAGAGATATTATTAACAATATATTCTTAATAATTCAAATTTTGTGATGTCGTTCTGTAAATGTAATTGAAATTTAATGCCTTTCAGTTTATTATATGATAGAGGTCATTACTATATTTAATTTTCTTTTGTATTTTCTCAGTCCCTTTTTTGTTGTTTTGCTTCAATACTAAATATTTCTTACTTTGTTTATATCCCAATTCTTCCTAACTTACCTACTTGAGTCAAAATAATAGAACCCTCAAAGGAAAAGTGACCTCTTTATTCAGGATTATGGAAAAAGAATTAAAGTTACAACAACTTTCTAAGTGTCCAGTTTACCAGTCTAGATTTCAAGGTGGCGTTTACTATCATGGTACTACCATTGTCTGAAAATTCCCTTTTGGAGACTCAATATGTATTAATAGCTCCAAGTGATTCATAGTTTGACTATATAAAACCTGGAATTTTCTGAATGGATTGAAAGTAGTAAACTCAACATAGCACCCCTCAGTCTCTGAAGAATCAGATTCTGTGGTGTTTGTACCCCAAGATTATAAAATGTACAATTAGGCATGCCATCTCTTTGGAACAGATGAATAGAGGCTTAAGTAATGTTTGCTAAACTTCTTTTATATTCAAGAGACAAATATTAACTAATGTTAGAAATCAGTCTTTTTTCTTCTGGTGAGGTTATGCTGACCAATAAAAAATTAACTTTGATCTAGTGTGTATTATAAAACAGTCAACATTTAAACAAACATATTTAAAATGGATAGCATGCTACCTTTTATTAATACCGCTTTATTAAGATATATCCTTTATTTTAATAAATATTTCTTTTATATTTTAAATTTCACCCCAATACCCTACTTTTTTTTTTCCTAGTATTTATCTCTACTTAAAGCTATACACAGAGTATTAAGCAATCACTGACATTGATGGTGGGCAGGCTGATGATAGACTTTCTGTAAGATGTCATGGAGGAGACAACAACTAGGCTATATCTTTTCTTTTTCTTTTTCTTTTTCTTTTTTTTTTTTTTGCTATATCAAAGGAGAAATTGGAATTATATGGAGGTAAGGTAGGATGTCAGTGGAATTTTAAAGTAATTAGGAGCAAATTTGCTAAAGTAATAAACATGTTTTTGTACTGTTGGAGCATTATCCACAAAGCAAGGAATAGCAAGAAATGAACTTAGAGTGATAGAGGTGATCTCAATTACAAATAACTTTGTATTAGGTTATTCTGTTAAGGAACTTAGATCTAAGACTGTAAGCAATGGAAGTACTTTGAAGGCTTTTAATTAGGGGGCAGGTATAATAATAATTGCTCTAGAAACTCTGTGGGTGGTTGATTTGAGAGAAAATGTTATGGAAAAAGAAAAGTATGTATTGGGGTAATTTGCCATGGTCTGGGACAACAGAAACTCTTTGAGGGCCTGAACTAGGCAAGGTAGTAGATGGAGAGATAGAAAGAGATGAGAGATTTAATCAATTAAAATAAATAACACTTGGTAAATAATGGGTTCTGGATGTTGAGGTGGAGCAAAGAATCAAGAAATACTCCCAGTCTCATAGCTTGAGTAACTAACTTGGTGCATGTGGTGCCGTAGCAAAGGTAGGAGGTTGGAAATGTTAGAGGAGGAGTCAGTTTAGGTGAGGGACCAGTTTTCAGTAGTTTTGAAACTATTGAAAAGGCTAAGGGAAACCTCTAGCAAGGAGTCAGGTAAATACTTTTAAAGCTTAAAAAAGTATAGGGTACATAGAGCAATTTGGAAGTAGCTTCACTACCAACAGGAAGTAGACACAAGAAACGAAAGTGAAATCAACTAGGGACACAGCCCATGAAATGAAGGCTAAGGAGTTTTCCTCTGCCCTAGGAAACATTAACATTTAAGTGGTAGATAGAGGAGGAGAAGCTTCTGAATAGCATAGAGAAGAAAACATGAGGATAAGAATAAAACTAAGACAATAGAGAGTTTTAAGAAAGAACAAATAATTCAACAGTAAAAAATCATAAATGAAAAAACACTCATTAGATTTGTCATGAGGAGTCATTAGGGATTTTAGCTAAAGTGATTTCAGAAGGTTGATGAGGCAAAAAAAAAAAAAAGAAAGAAAGAAAGAAAGCAAGAGAATAGATTGCAGTGGAGGTGTGAAGGGGAGATAAGAAGGTGAATACACCAAAAGAATGTGGAGGAGAAATACTGGGTAAGGGTATGTAATATCAAAGTAGATTTCTTTCTTTTAGAATAGGAAATACATTGTATGTTTATAGGCTGGATGAAAGGATCCTCTAGTAAAAGACAGGTTGAAAATACAGAAAAAAGAGAGGATGATTAGAAGAAAGGTCATAGATTGACCAGAGACAGGATTGGGTTAAACATAAAGATGGAATATGTAAACAGAAAAATGTTCTTACTTACCTTTGAGACAGGAAGAAACTATATAAAATAATTGGAAATAAGTTTTTTCAAGAAAAGGATGGTAAATCGAATGTAATTATATTTGATGACTTCAATTTCATTGTTGCTGTAGTTCAGATTATGATGGTTGTTTTTGAGACAAATTCCTGAGGGTAGAGGCCTAAAGATTGAATATGATTTATTTGGTTGAAAATGGGAAAGTTTAAAGTAATCATTGGGTAAAAGGTGATGGGAACTGATTAAGTATAAGTAAAAAGATTAGTGGAGATAGCCACATAGCAGACACTGGAAACCATGAATTTGCAATGTGCCAACCTGTATGAGTGTATGCTTTGCTTAGGCAATACCCAGTTGCCTAGATATAGAGAAATCAGATTATGGCATTGAACCAGTTTTAAGGTTCTGATGAATGTTGGGATATTTGGGTTAGAAGGGAGACTGAAGGTTGATGTGGAAGTAGTGTAGATGATCATCATAGAGTCTTGGATGAGTACTGAGGGAAGACAAAATATAGAATATTAGAAGTATAAAAAGAGGGCAGTATATATTGGCAGGCATTGGTAGACTAAGGAATGAAGATCAAGTACAATGGGAGTGAGCTTCTGAGACCCCTGACAGAGTTAATGATCATAATCCACATTTGAAATATTGAAATTTAGTATTTCTGAGTTTGAGTAGTTTCATTAGATTTTAAGATCCATAGTATTTTGCCAGAAGTATGTGTGTGGAGGGGTGTCTGGAGCTGATACAGGAAAAACTTGATGATCATTGAAGTTTGAATGTCTTGTGGTTTGAGATTATTGAACAATTATCAGCATGAATGTTGAAATTTAGCATTACCATAAGAATTAGGGTAAAGAAGATAACAGATAACCAGTTACCCAAATTATCAATAACTAAGGAATAGTGATTGGAGATAGATATTAGCAACCTGAATTGAAATGGATGTTACAGCTAAGTGGCATGTTTAATTGAACAAAAATATGTGGATTATTGTGGGAGAGCAATGGCTTGTGTGTCTGTAGGGAGCTACCCTCTCCTGGATTCAATGGACTGTGAAATGTGAAAGAAATAAGTAGCTTTGCCTATAAGAGCTACACTGGAAGCAAAGTCTGCAAGTTTGAGCTTAATATTATTTAAGGTAGGGATATGCAGGGGCCATTTTGCAGAAAGGCTGATGATATGAGGAAGTTTGTTAACAATGAATAAGGATTCTTGAAAATACAACTGAAAGAATTAGAAGAGATTAAAGTGTTCCAGAAGAGAATGCAGGTGATGAAGAATTTAGAGAGAAGGTTTCAGGGGACAAATGGTCCTTACTCTTTACCTGATAACTAAGAATTACAGAGATAAGATGTTTGAATAAAAGTGATTTACCTCAAATATCCTGAGTTTATCATAAGTTGTTTTGTTGCCAAACTGGAAATTGTTTTGATGCTAGAAGTGAGTAAGGTTCTGGGAAGGATGTGACCTGGATCTACAGTAGTGCTGAGGGTGCCCTGAGTTTGAAGAGAAGCAGCAAATGGTCTCATCTCAAGGTATTTGGGGCCATGACTAAGACCTGATTAGAGAAGGGATTCTGACAAAGCTAGTAGAGTCACCAAAGGATGAGATTCCTGCATGGAATATAGATGTTTTCCAACAGGTACCCTACATGGAAAGTATTACTGAGAGCCCCTAATAAATGTGGTC